CTTACTGTTCAAAAACTTTTGACTGGTAGTGTAGGCTGATTATTCTTATAGATTGAAACAAATGTGCTTCAGCCAGAAAAAAAGGGTATGAAAAGTGCTCCGAGTCGCTGCAGAAAACAAAAAAATTGAACAACAAAAACTGGAAATGTTGCTGGAGACGGGCTTATTTAAAATGCAAACTCATTCTCTGCCAACAGGAGGCGCTTTTAAAGTGATAAAACTAGCGGTTTCTCCAGTAATGGCTGTAATCAAAGCAGCTCCGCTCATGAATGCTACTTTATCAGATCAAATGAAAATGCCATCGAAACTTTTCTGAACACAGTCGGTTCCCTTCAGAGATACATTCATATAAAACACCCGCGCCGTGTTATGATTTTGAAACGTGCAGTGCTCATGTTTATTCAACGAAGTCAAACGGCACAATAAATCAGTGTATGGGAAACTGGTAATGTATATCGAAATATCAGAAATGTGTTTAAAAATCATATCACCGTTATTGAAAAAAAATATATCGCGATACATATTGATATTTAATTATTGTCCAGCCCTATACCCAAGTGAAAACTTAGGGCATGATATAATAATGCACATTGCAACATTTTGTTAAATAAAGAAGAACTATCAGTTCTGATTTCATGGTGACTAAGTCTGTCAGATTTTAAGGATGTTTTTATTCATCACAGATTGTCTGGCAAAGATGAATCATAATCAACTAGATGTGTGATGCAACATCTTGAAATCAACGAAGAGTCCAAAAACTGAGTTTGATTAATCTATACCAGACATGCAATTTATTATGCAACACAAACTGGTTGCTGGTTTCTGACATCAAGCGACACTCAAAAGGATATTGAGTAGGATTCCACTCTGTTGAAAAACGCTTCTTTGTTTGCTGCCTCACAAGGGGCTTTCCCAAGGCCATTTGGAGACAGTGTGTTTGGATCCTGCTCTGAACTGAGATATGGAGAAGAAAGTGTTATGCATAAACTATGCCACAAATGTTCCCTTTAATCCATATTTTCCAGGCATAAATAGAACCTGAGTGACTTTGCAGCATTGCAAGCACTTATTTAATTCCTACAGGGAAAAAACATGCATGCATTAGTCCAAAAACATCCATCAATCGTGCATCACCCTGCAGAAATATACATTTTAAGACTGATTTAGAACAAGGTGGTAGACCAGGTCCAACTACCATGCTTCAAAAGCCAGCTTGACGAGCTGGTAGCTGGTTTGCTGTTAGTCAAAGAGGGTCTACCAGTGTGCATCAGCCTGAAACCAGCTACATGTTGACAGGTAGATTGGTAACGTGGTTTGTTTCTAATCTAACTGGTGGTCTTCTTTAGCTGGTGAATTTCCCAAGACTTACTAGCGGCTTTTAGTAAGTCAATGTTTATTTTGGATCATCTCCCATGTTCCAAAACACAAGTACCATTTTAGGTTCAATTTTCCACAAGGGTTTTCAGTAAAAAATTATCGGTTTGCTGAATTGTTCACCGTTCCTGCCCTGTTTTCTTCGCGCACATTCTTACTTTTTGCAACTTTTTTTCTCATTACAGAGAAACTCTTACCAATTTAACACGTTGTCTTCCGAAGCGACCCCTTCGTTGAGAAGTTCTCGCACTTTCAGGGGAGACACGAGTGGATTTTTGTTTTGTTTTTCGCCGTTTTCTGGGCGACTTGCATGGCTGCCGAGCGCGGCCATATTCGGTGTCTGTCTCTAAACCCTCCCGCTGCAAGACATCAATTGTCAACAGTTTTACACAGTTCCGCCCCCTCCATTACAAAAATGTACCGTGGTAACCGTTTAAGAAGCTTTCTGTCATTTTTCTACATTTCTTATTTTGATGACAGTGATTGCTAACACTAAAACTATAATAGCTGAATTGTAGTAACAGTTTCTTCATTATTTGTAAACACCATACTGCTGCACTCCATGACCTTGTTTTGTTTTCGTCTAAATACTGTTCCTCTCATTAACATCTTAATTATGTTAATCACAGACAAATAAATACAAAACTATATGGTTTAACCACATATACAGTTTGTAAATATGGGTACTGAATTATGAATGGTTTGTTAGGAGGCTACATTAGTGTAGTTACATTCATTTGATACAAACAAGTAGTTTGTGCAGTAACAGATAATATTTATCAGTTTATGAAAGAGACATTTGTTTTTCTGTAGTCAGTCCAACTCATTGTTAGTCGATACTTTTAGCTGAGATACAAGCTGCTGGCCTTGAGCTGAGAACAAAAATAACCACACCAAGACATGTCTCATATTGGTGTTTGACACAATGGATTTTGAAGTAGAAGGGTGAAAACTTTAAACGAAACAACCTCTTTGGCATTCAATGGAAGGAACTGAACAGAATGCACTGTCATTGCCGTTTGTGTTGTGAAAATATTTTACATTTCACAAGTGCTTACTCAAATATATGCCTATCTAAGCTGCTATCAATAACCAAAATTACTTAGCAGGTACATTGTGGGATTTGATTTTTAAAAAAGTGTGTGTGCAATTAAATAATTTTGTTGTGATTTATAATATTGAGATATACAAATTAATAATGGCGAAAATTCAGTCCTTTTCTAAATATTAAAAGAGATGAAAATTCACTTTCACTGTACTTAAGTCGACAAATAAAATGTCTTGAGCAGTTCACTTAAGACTTAACTAGTGAACAATAAGTCTTTGGCTGATGATACACGGGGCAACATTTTGGGCAATGTTGCCGTCAACGGGCAACCAGGTGTTACCCATTCTCAATGGGAAAATGCCCAGACAACATTGCTCAAAAAAAAGTTGCCTGGCAAAATTGATCAAAAATTTCCCCCGTGTATCATCAGCCATGCATACAGGAAAGATAAAACACCAGTATTGCTTAGATAAATGTTTGTCTCTCATGCAAAATCTTGTTCAATGAAGATTGGCCCAATTTTAATCAGAAAAGTAAGACTGATTATCTCTTGGCTAACTGCTAGTTGGTCAAATTAATTCTTCGGTCTTAACACATGAGTCACTGGCCTCAGTATTGCTTTGATTTGATTGCTTTATTTGCTCAGATGGTGGATGAGCACCTAGAAAGGACCTCCACAGCCCTGAAAGACAGCGGAGACCAGGACAACTAGATGAGCCCCAGATACAGATCCCCTGTAAAGACCTTGTCTCAGACGACCACCGGGACAAGACCACAGGAACCAGATGAGTCCTCTGCACAATGTGACTTTGCTGCAGCCTGAAATTGAACTGCTGGTTTTGTCTGGCCAGAGGAGAACTGGCCCCCCGACTGAGCCTGGTTTCTCCCAAGGTTTGTTCTCCATTCTGTCACCGATGGAGTTTTGGTTCCTTGCCGCTGTCGCCTCTGGCTTGCTTAGTTGGGGACACTACATTTCCAGCGATATCGTTGACTTGATTGCAAATGATTGCAAAGATACTATTTAAACTGAACTGAGCTGGATGATGACATCACTGAATTCAATGATGAACTGTCTTTAACTGAAAAATTAGTGTTTACTATTGTCATTTTGCATTATTGACACACTATTTTCCTAATTAATGCTGTTCAGTTGCTTTGACACAATCTGTATTGTCAAAAGCGCTATATAAATAAAGGTGACTTGACTTGAAAAATCTTGTTCAGTTTATTTAAATTTTTTTATTTAGGTAAACAGTTCCTATTTCGCTAATTTAGTGAATAATAAATAAACCATTCATTTTGAAATTAATGTATGACATTTGACATGACATTTAGTATTACATACAGATGTTTTTTTTTTTTTTTTTTTACATAAAATATGAACAAAAAGCTACAGCATTTTTTAGTATTGGACGTTTTGGGTCAGCTTGAAGTATTTTAGTCAAAGATTTGGTTGTAAAGCTTGACGTTTATTATGAAGACTTTTATTTTGAAAGGCATAAATGTCTGATTATTTTCATAGCTTGTATTTTTTTTTTTTTTTTTTTTTTTTTTTTTTTGTGGCCATCTTGCAGGTTTTCACCAGCGTTTCTACCTTCACGTTCATTGCAAAGGAGATCCGGTCAGGTCCATCTATTTCATTTAAACGTCTCTTCGCGGGGAGAATGGGCAGAGTTATGCTCTGCGGTTCGCCTCAGTCTGCTGAAGGAAGCCCCGTTGTCTGCGAGTGCGTGTAGGTGGATGATTTCAGCGTGATTTTCGGAGCGATGTCTGCCGCAGAAGAAGCACACAGCCCGGACAGACTCAATCAGTTTGAGCGGTTGTCTGGAAGGCCTCCGCTAAGAGCCGCAGGTCAGTGAGAAGCCAGTTAACAGCTTGAATTAAGCACAAAAATAACAATATTTCTTACAGAAACTTCCATTTTCTAATTTCTATCATAATATAAATTACAATTATTTTGTATTTCACATATCGCGCTGCTAGCATCTAGCGTTAGCCGTGTCGCTAATGTCTTTGTTTTGATTACAAACTTTACAAATTCACATGTGTTAATTATTATATTTATCACATATTATATTTGGCAAAAGGCTGTGCATTGTAGTCGTCATGTGTTGTTAGTTTGTCTGTACAAAAAGTTGCATTAAATACTGGTAAGTTAGCTTGTGGATCGAGTTTGACAGGTTAATTTGCATTTTAGTCACATCTGTCAGACTTTGTTTTTGATGTAACGTTAAATGAAGAGGATAGGAATATTTTTAGTACTTTTATATCTGCTTGTAACATTTCCTTATTTTGAATCAACTCTGATCAGCTTGTCAAGTGAGGTTTAAGCATGTCTTTAAGCTCTGCTAGTGTTATGAAGTACAAAAGATGGCAATATAGTTGTTAGATACTAATAGTATTTATTATTATTATATATAGTTGTTAGTATACTAATTTATAGTAACAGTTGGTGCTTTAACTCTATGCTCTTGGTTTCCCGATTTAAATTTTAAACAAATCTGTTTGGAATTATTTTGTAATCGTTATCATAGTGATCTACTGAATAAATGGGGTAAATTTGATACTAAAGTATTTATTTATATTTATAGATTAAATGTAAACGTTCAAATCTGTTTGAATGTTTGACTAAATTATTTTTAATGCACACTAGCAGTAAAAAGAATGAATGTGCCGAGGCTCATACACAGAATTGCTTGGTGTTTAGTGTAATGTTTATAGTTTAGGGATATATTTCACTTGGCTGTTTCTTTGGACTGTTAAATACTGCCACAGATCAGCACATGGGTAAATACAACTCCATGAGTAAATAAAAGCCCGGCTCTGTCCTGGAGTCTGGTTCTACTCAAAGTCACAGTGTAAATATCCTGTGAGCTTTGCTTTTTTAATCTTTCATCTGTAAGACATACGCAGTGATCATTTCTGTAGCTGTAATGCATTAAAACAGTACTGCAGTGTGACTTCAGGACATTTAATGATGTTCACACCACCCATCTCATAGCCTGCAGCTCTAGCCATCAGGATCCTCCTTCCTGTCTATATATGATGAGTGATTAAAATTTATACTTGCGCAAAATCTACAGTATGCACATCTTATGTATTCATAACAGGCTTCATGGATTAGAATGAATGCAGAATGTTAAATGGTACACAAAGGAGGCTGGGTGTCATGCACATGCATAATACACACTTCTTGTCTGGAGGCAGCTGGTTTATTGTAAATGTTGCCCTCAGATGATCTTTTGCATATGACAGTCGTAAAAACCTCAAATCTAACCATGTGACTTGCTTGGTGCAATAGTAATACGTGCTGTCATGGCCAGCAGTTTTCATGTCTTCAGTGGACATCTTCAGGTTGTCTTTTGAAGGGGCTTACTGTCTGTTCTTACACTTTGGGTGACTTTTGACTTCTAACCGCCCAGAACGCCTTAGCAACTGCATAGCAACGCTCTGTCAAACATCACTGGTGTGCAACTATCATTTGCTTTCTGTGGAGCCAATAGAAACCAGTGCATATGCTTAAACCAAAGCAAACCAGTTATCAGTGTGTTTTCAGTTGTTTCCAAACATTGAATTCAGTATCAACACAGTACATTAAACAGAGCTGTAAATATCAGGATTTGTTTTTGCAGGCCTGGAAAAGTCATGGAATTAATAAAAAAAATAATATAGGTTTGTGAAGTTTCTATAGTGAATATAAATTTTTGTTAATCTCTAAAATATTTTTTTGATTATGAATTGCCAGTAGGGCTGTGCGATTTGGGGGAAAATATCAAATTGCGATTTAGCGAGTATGAGAAGCATTCACAGACACAGGCTGTGTGTGCGCTCTTCTGAATTGGGAAACAATAACATGTGTAAGATAACGTTCACATAGCCTACTACCAAAACATCTAAGAATGTATCTTTTATTCTCCAGTACTGAAAACAGAACCGATAAGGGAGTTTTTGATATGCGCTGTGACGCAGCTCTTGCAAATTACCTTTTTTGTTCGTTGTCTGTCATTTCGAAGCTTAAGTTGCATACGGTTTTCTTTCGTTTTAATTTGCCTAACTATCGATCTAACCCAGTAGACGCCATAATCCCACTATGTCTCTCTCCCGTCCCGCTTTCCGTTTTTTTTTTTTTAAATGGTGGGTGTTTACGCAGTTGGCTAGAGCAGTGCTGATTAGGGAGAACGGAGGTGCGCTCACTCTTGCCCAGGGCAAGTAAGACTGCAACTCAAGGCTGGCAGTCATGCATATGCTCTGGAACAGAGTAATATCGCGTCCACATCGCAGGCTTTGCGATTAGGAAATCGCAACGTCTCAAATCGCGATTTTGATTCGATTTCGATTAATCGC